ACCAGTTATACATTGGGGAAACAAAACAACCACTCTTCAAAAGGATGGTCCAGCACAGAAGAGCAACACCATCAGGCCATGACTCATTTCGTATACAGGCCAGCAGTCATTCTTTCAGGGATGATGTTCTCATCCTTGTTAGAGAGGAGTGTTGGTTTGAGAGAAGAGTAAAAGAAGCCATTTTTGTGAAGAAAAAATGTTCATCATTAAACAGAAGTGGAGTTCTCCGTGTTCAGTTGTCCCCCTTTTACAATGCTGTTATTGTGAGTATTACTCAGCCCCCTGTGAACAATATGAATAATCAGGGCACTAATGATTGTTAGGCTTTTGCATGTAAACACGTTTTGATTTTCATCATTAAACTTGTTAATCAATTATCTCCATCATACTGAAGACTTTCTAAGTCTTTAAAAAAGGCCATGTCTGAGCATACCACAATAAGGTTTTGAGAGTAAATAACGTCAACAGTAAAATTTAAAACAAACTAAAGCTGTTTTTTATCCTTCCTTTCTTCATTCTTTTCCTTAACCATATCTCTTTGTATTAGTTTTTATCCTCCCTGCTAATGTTCACCTCTGTTTTGCGTATTTCCAGACAGCAATGCAAGCTTTAATGCAAGAATGCTGACAGGTAACGAGTCGTTGCTGCAACATCAGTTTGAGTATAAACGACACGCTACACTCAAGAATCCTCCTTCGCTCTGTAAAACAAAGTAATCGTATTCTGCTCTGTTCCCTTTCTACTTGAGGGAGAATTCATTGAAATTCAGTCCTCCTTAGCTTCCTGCTCATGTTTCTTCCTGTTTTTTCTCTGAGCCTCCCTGCCGCTTTAGGCTGTGCACGTTGGCCTGCAATACAGGTATGAAAAAAAGATCAACATTGTTGGCTTTCCAACAGATGGCTGGGAGGACTTGTCTTGCACGATGTCTCCTTCAGTAAGAAACACTGCCCAGCCAAGACAGCCTGGCGGTACTGTCCAGCAGAATCAAACAGTGACCGCAGTATTTGAAGGCAGGTCAAAGCAACTGTTTAGGGAGGTATTTTATGTTTGACTATGACAGTTCCTGGCAGCTGCGCTCAAGTCTTACGTCTCCACAGGGACTTGGACTCTGCCTGTGTCAACTGTCAAGCAGATGTCCAGGATAAGGCCGAGGAAAAGTGGCAATACTTCATAGAAAGAGAGTCTGCGAGAGCATTCAGACACATTCATAAAAAACCCACCTCCAATCGTTCATTACTGGACAGATTTGAAGCAAATGGAAAATAGAAGTGGAGGACAATTCAAGACATTTACAAAAAGAAATATCTTCACGTGGTGAAAAAGAAGAAGCAATTTTGACATCCCAGCTGGTGTAAGAGCCGTGTTGGCCTGCCTGTCATGGGGAATTTAGGAAACTCAAGTGCAATTCTGTCTTCCAATTTCTTTCATACTGCCTGAAATGCTTGCAATTCTGGCCAACACCTCACTGTCAAGAACCATTCGTGGAAAAAAACAAAACAAAACAAAAGTGTGAAGTATTGAAAGGATTGTCGTGACCTTTGCAGCAGCTGGGTGAGCTGTTCACATTGTCACACTTCCAGTTCTTGCTGTTAATTCAATGAAATTACCGTCGATTGAAATGCGTGTCCCTTATGAGACAGCTCAAGGCGCACTGCAGCGACAAATACATTCACAGCAAAAACAGAACTGTATTTTGCATGATGCTCGGCGGGACATTGTCACTCAGAATTATCTGTTGCGTTTGGTGAGAAACGTGGTAAGGGGATTTAGCACAAAATGCAAATTAAAAGTAAGAAAAAAAAAACCAGCAGGGGCAGTGGCAGGGTGTGAGAGAAACCCAGAGCTGCTTCCAAAGCTGCTGCCACTCTGGTCTAAGCTTTAAAACAACTCTTTCCACACACAACTAGGGAAAAAAAGGCAATAGAAAATGAGACCATTAATAGGGATGGTGCCATAATAAATGTGTGCATATGGAAAAAAAAACAATGTAAACAAGTACTGCACAAAGTAGATAAGCAGGCTGTCACAGAACTGTTCTCAGCCAGTTGGGATACTAATCTGTGAGCTGTTGCCTTCAGAGACACCACTGAAGACTGTGTGAAAAGAAACAACACATTATTAACTGTGTTTTTATGTATATTTTATATACTATATGCTACGATGCACAATTGCTAATTAGGAATTTCTGCACGCACAAAAAAAATGCCACCGTAAAATATGCATGTCGAGGGTTTAGCAATGCACTTTTAGTGGCATTTGACAAATTATGCTGGACCACCATGCTTTTGTCACATCCTGTTTCAGCCAAGCGCTTTTCATCCGTCTAAAAAAAGATGCCCCCAGATGGAGTTGTTCTCTGTGATCACGCGTCCTGGGCATTAAACCTCCAGAATACGGGGTTAATGGGATTGGTCCTGTTTTGCTTCTGGCAGCTGGCTGCTTGGTGGCTGAAGAGGCTGCGAGTTGATGCCTAAAACCGGCTTAGTGAAAACAAGTAGAAATCAAGCCATCTTTCACTTTGTTGGTTCTCCAACATTGCCAAGACATCCAATTCCTTTAGGCATTTGCTGCTGGGGCGGCTGATAAAAATGGGCTCTAAATCCAGTGGCGGGGCCAGCTTAATTTCTTATCTTTCTAATAGCTCGGATAAGGGATTGGAAGACATTGTATCAGAAAACCCATCAGATGCCCTTCTGGTAAAATGCCATAATTATTCCAATAAACAACAAAAACAAGCTGAAGATATTACCTGGTGTTAACAATTTTATTATTTAAATTTACCAACTATAATACACAGCAAATGTGAACAATAGCATTTTGTTGATTGCATGGTTTCAATGGGTATCTTACAATATCTGACCAAAGCAAAGACTGAAAATCAATCAGTCTTTGAAAATCAAAATCTTTCAATTTGGAGGTAAACAGGAAGCCAATGGAAAGAAGCCAAGACCAGGGTTATGTGTTCATGTTTTTTAGTACCTGTTAAAAAACGAGCTGCTGCATTCTGGACAATCTGTAAGTGACGCAGAGATGATTTATCCAAGCCAGCATAGAAAGAATTACAATACTCCAAACGAGTGGTAATAAAAGCATGAATCACCTTTTCAAGGTCTTTAGTGGGGAAATATGATTTCACCCTGGCAATCAGTCTTAACCGGACAAAGCTTGATTATACAACTGAATAAATCTGTTTATCGAATTTCATGGCACCACCAAAGAGAAAACCCAGATTCCTGACAGTAGAATGGCTGTATGAAGGTAAAGGGCCAAGAATGTCATAAAAGTTAATTTTACCAAAACTGAGGACTTCCGTTTTACTTCCATTTAGGTTCATAAAGTTTAGTTTCAACCAGGTTTTTATGTCATTTAGACAACTGAAAAGTGGTTCGAGCAGAGTGACATTGTTTATGCTAATGGGCATATAGACCTGGATATCATCAGCAAAACAGTAAAAAGTGATGTTATACTTTCTGAAAATGAACACCAAAGGCAACATATAAAGATGTGACAAAAAAATATTATGGTCCACAGTATCAAAGGCAGAAGAAAAGTCTAAAAGTGCCAAAACAGCAGAGCTTCCTGAATCAGCTGTCAAAAGAAGATCATAAAAACTCTTAAAAGGGGCGTCTCTGTGGTGTGGCCTGGTTTAAAATCTGACTGAAATACTTCACCAATGCTGTTCACAGTTAAAAATCTCTGGAATGAACTCATCCACACTAGACACAGAGAAGAACTGTGGGTTGGAGGAGACCAAGTCAATAAAACTGGTGGAGAAACACAGATTTCAACAGTGGACACATTTATTCCACACGACAGAACAAGATCCAGTGTGTGGCCTTTTTCATGAGGGGCACAATGACTGACTGTGTGAGATTAAAAGAGCCAATAATGTTCATAAAATCTTTGACCAGTGGTCCAGCCTCACAGCAGATAGGGATGTTAAAATCACCAATTATTAAAAGTCGATCATATTGTAACATGAGTTCCGTCATAAATTCAGTAATATCTTTAATATAATCCTTGCTGTACTTTGGTGGTCAATAGATTGTGACACAGAGCAAAGGAGGAGATAAATTAATCTCCACTATCTGAAGTTCCAAACTTGAGTAGAAGTGAGTAGGAATCAGCCGACAGGTAAAAATGGATTTTAAAACAGTAGCTAATCCACCTCCTTTGCCAGTAGACAAAGCGGAGCTAAAGAAAATGCATTCAGGAGGGATGAGTTCAGATACTTTATCAACTATTTTTTCATTTATTTTTCCTTAGAGACATATTTTATCATAATTCAGCAAATAAAAAATATAATAAATAAAAATAACCTCATTAAAACATCCATTTGAGTAAAGACTACAAAAAAAGATAATCAGAGTTGCATTTCAGTTTTTCTTTCCGAACCAAAATCAAAAATTACTGAAACATTCGAACTGAATTTTCTTGGCTTAAATTTGGCCATCTATCTTGAGAAGAATGCACTAAACAAAGTGACAAAAATATCAAAAAGAAACAAACAAAACTGATTTATATATAAAATAGTACCTTTGAGGCCAGATAAAACCTTAACAAAGACCAGATTTGGCCTGTGGGCCTTGAGTTTGATACATCAGACTGTCTGCAATCATGTTTAATTTGACAGCAAAGGAACCTGCTTTAAAACCTTTAACATGCACTGTTGTAATTAACACAAGTTTATTCACATTGTCACTTCTGAATGTAGTAGCTGAGGTGCAGCAAGATTACAGCAACCAGTCTCTTCCCAAAAAGAATGTTTACGTGGTTAGAGAATATTGTCCAGCAATTTACCAAACTCAGTTCAAGTTCATTAATTACCAAAACAGCCTCAGTTTAATGTTCACAGATAAAAAAGTATGCACCCCTTATAAACACACTCAACTCAACACCTCCGTGCACAAAACTAATTACAGAGAATGTATTACTCTCCAACACTGAACTGAATCGATCTTATGTCACAACAAAGATTGAATCTTTGCTTTCTGACTTACCAGGAGCTTTGTAGAAGCCAGTGTCTTCCTCTCCAAGAGGCAGCAGGTAGACTTCACCTTCTTTCCACAGCAGGGGGTACTCCACAAAACTGGAGAACTCGCCCAACCAACCATCCTGGTCTGAAAACGAAAGAAGTTTAAGAACAGAACTTAAAATCTATGGTAAAAAGACAGTGAAAAGTACAACCTAGCCAGCAGAGGTGAAAAGGCAAGCTATAGAACACTGAAAACAATGCATAACATATACAGCACTGTGTCTCGGTAAGGGCAATAAAGACATAACAAAGAGCCAAATACATTGTTGTTACACTTGAGTAAAAGAGCTACCACAGTAATTAGAGGTTGGGGAGCCTTAGACAGTACCTTCGATGAAGTCTGACGTGATGTTGACAGCAGTGTAGCGATTAGATGAGGAGCAGGCCAGAGAGTGGCCAAAACAGAAACAAGGCTGGCAGCCGCCTGGGTTTACGTGTTGCAAATTGAAAAATCCTGGCTTGCATCTGTAGCTCACACACAAACACAGACACCCTCATGTATAAAAATGATTAACATGTAAAATACTGCGCGCACACACACACACACACACACACACACACACACACACACACACACACACNCACACACACACACACACACACACACACACACACACACACACACACACACACACACACCTGCTTTACACCGATTCACCACAACCTTTGCTTTGGTGCCACTCTCCTTTTCTCTTAGTTGCAAACGTGCAGGCTGCTGCTGCATACGGACGGCTTTCAGAGATGGGGAATAAGTGAGCTCAGCTGTGAGGATGCTGAGCTATGACCTACACACACTTACTAGCATATGGGTGGGACAGGAACACCAATAAAGATCAGCCACTACAGTAGTCACATTACACAGGAGAGGAACCTGTTCAATGAGCTGTAAAATCAGTTAAAAATAGGTTTAGAAACCTGAGACTTGAGCCTGTGTGTTTCTAATAAAACAAAGAGTGTGTCGGTTTGATACTGTATCCCAGAGGAGCATAGGAAAATGGATGGAACTTGTTGGGTTCACCTTGTTAGTAATCAAAATAACAGCAACCTTAAAGCAAATTACTCTTTGACTTCTTTCTTTTGCTACCCATGACGATGGGTGCGATCAGAGTTTGAAAACTTAAGACAGATAATGCAACAGCTGCAATTGTAGAATTCAATTGTTGTATTATGTAGAGCTTTAGTAGTTACCTTGGCAAGCAGCACGTTATCACTCACCTGTTACAGCTCTGCCCCTCCACATTCGGCTTACAGTAACAACGTCCGTCCAGTGGAGAGCAATGGTCCATGCTTCCACCCTGGTCACACTCACATGGCCTACAGACAACAAACAACACAAACAAGATTATTATAAATATTCTGCTTTGAACAAATTTGTTTAAGAAAAAATATATATTGTTGTTGTGCAAACAAAAGAACAAGAACCTCTGAAGGCATAAGTGCCACCTCGTTAAGAAAACAAGTTTTAAACCTATTTAATCTCACTCATATGTTTTGTTTTAAGCAAGTATCATATTGTAGGATGTCTTGATGGATCAAAAGCCTCAGAGCATCATTTTACTTCAGAAATGAAAGGAAATATGATATACAAATCTGGTCTTCTTGGATAAGCTAAATGACCATCTTCTCATTGGTAAAATTTGACTTTGATCCAATAAGGCAGCTTACAAGATGACTGCCACATTCCGGACATAGCCTAAAATATAGATCATCACACCTGTCATTTGTTGGGGTATTCAGATATTTCCTTTTCCCTTTCATGAAATAAAAGTCCTGTGACTTTTGACTCACACTGTACATTGCCCCTCAAATTAAAGCATTTTCTAGTTTCTGTGTATTGAAGAATTTTGAGATTTAGTTGTATTTTTGTACGACCATGCAATAATGCAACAAAAGCCTCTATTTTATGAGCAGATTCAGATTATCTTTATTGTCATTCAAACATAACATCAGGGATGTGATGTTATACAAAATGCTTAATCCTTGGAGGTGAAAGACTTGTCCTGTAGAATGTAGGCAATGAAGCATCAAAGGCAGGACACTAAGTATTTGCGTATGTCTGTGTGTGCACAACTTTTTATTCATCTCTTAACAAACTATTTCAATAACCACATTTAAATGAAACTCTCAGAAGGTAACCACTGGGGGTATAATAATATTTGAAGTCCACCTGATTCAAGATGGCTGCCACAGCTAATTAAACTTAACAAAAACAAAAATGTGTGTAACTCAGGGTCAGTTTTACAAATATTGAGCTCAGATATCACAATAGCTGTGAGGAATCATCTTCACACACTCTGACCATTAACGTATCACATGAGACCTTTGTTTAAAACTTTGGCTTGTAAGGCGGCAGGCAAAATGGATTTCTTTAATGGATTCTAGATTCTCTATAATTGTTTTTGTTTTATACTTTCTTGAGCTTTGTGGTTTACTCTTTGCAAAAATGAGAAATTAATAATATGAAATTTTCTGAGGTTTGAGTTATTTTGACGGCAAAAATCTGCTCTGAGGTAAGCATCAGTCTTGTTTGACTCCTCCAGGAGAATTCATTGTTGATTTTTCAAACTTAGATTTTTCTGACTACTGTCTACTGCAGGTAAGATACCTTGCCAAAGTAAAAGGAAATAGGAAAATTCAAATTTTGCATTTATGCTTCTGTCAAACAATGGGCTTTTCTTGCTTACAAAGTTATAGACACTTTTCAATTATGGACTATAAGTTTGGTTTTCCAAAAGCCAAGCAATAACTAGACATTTAAATGCAATATCACCAATATAAAACTATTCTCAATTTATTTTCATAGTAGAAAACAGCAAAAAACATGTTATTTACCACACAATCTGACACACGAAACTTAAAGACAACATAAGTAAGTCAGATTAAAGCAGTCAGTTCTTACGTGGGTTTGCTGTGTTGTGTCAAAATCCATTTGATCATGTTTATTGATTGATTACTTTTGTTTGAGACTGTAATGCCGAATCTATTTCCAATGAGGTGCTATTATAAATAATTCAATTATTCCAGAGCAAGCTGCCTGTAGTTGTTTCTGCTCTAGTGATCTGGGTAATTCACAACTCAGCTAAACAGACTGAGTTTGCCACATGAATGACAGACAGCAGAGTGCATATCTGCATATGTGTGTGAGTATTGTGTATTAATATAATTTTGACTGACAATCTTTTTTTGACAAACAATTTCTGTTTTGCTTGATACATTTATTACTGATAATTCTTAAAGACAATGAAAACATATTTACAGGGGTAAAACTGATTATCTGAAAAGCTAAATAAATGTTGTTCTAGGTTAAACTTCACACGTCTTCAGTGATATTCCTGGAATTGTTTTTTTTTTTTTTTTGCAGAGTCTTTTGCCAATCTAAGTGATCATGCCGGGGTTGACTTTTTTGGTGAACTCTAACTCAAGTGCAATGTCTTGTCATAAAATACTTTATGAAAATGTTTGTTTAAACCAGCTAAGAGCTGTGATATCCTAACCACTCACCAGTCAAACAGCTAACAGTTTTCTGGTAGTGTCTGATCATGTTATACGAGAATGTGAAGGTAACTGCATAGCAAAATACAGGAGGTAATGAGGAAGTGTAGGTTAAATCAATCTTAACTCACAAAACGAATGAATGTGCTGAAACAAGAAGAACATGGTTATAAACTATAAAATCACTTGGCCTCAAACTACCATGGATGTAAGGACCAATGACAATTGGGCCAGAAAGCAATAGAGATAGAATATCTCTGTTGATCAGATTCTTGTTGATTTGTTAATTTATTCAACTCATTTGTCAGTATATACTGTACATCTATAAGTAATGACATATACGTATGTAGTGAGTGAGCGCATGCTCTACAACCCATCCTCACTCCCAACTCATCACATATTGATGACTGTCCAAGGTTCCCTCTACGTTCGGTTTTGACCCGTCGGGTAACACCCTCACATCAGTTATTGTCGAGATGAGAACAAGGAGGAGCCTGTTAGTGTATAAAATGCACGACAACTAACAACTAACCATCCCAAACTCTAAATTATAGAAATACTATTCCTGACCTCACAACCTAAACTTAACCAGTAATCCTGACCCCTAATATTAACCACCACCTCAACCCAAAGACTCTATTTGTTGTGAACCCGGAAAAACCCTGTGCGTCAATAACTGAAGCGAGAGGGATACCCGACAAATCAAAACCTGACACAGAGGGAACCTGGACAAGCGTCAATATGTGACGAGTCGGGAGTGAGAATGTAACATATACATTACAACAAATGCTCCTCCCCTTTGTCTTAGTTGAACTGTCAGATCAACAACTAAACAGTCTCTAAAAACTAACAATAAATAATGCTGGCAGAGTAAGTTAGAATCAAAACATGAGTAAAACCTAAAGGAAAATCAACCTAAAGACAAAGTCAACAAAGAACAAATCTTAGTTACAGAAAGCTAAAAAAAAATCCATCATTTTTTTAAATTTGTCACTTTAAGACACTGTTTGACTGAAGCATTTATGAAGTTTATCCTTGTGATATTTTGTGGTAGTTCTTGTGTTTTTAGCTCTTGACAGCAAGTTTAAAATAATTAAAATTGTTTATAAGAGATCATTAGCTCCTGGTTCTGAGTAAGACATTTTCAGGTAGGAGAAATCATCTGAGCATCATAGACAAGGCCTATGAGAAATCGCTCTACATCAAGTTCATAACAAGAACAGTCTTCTCCTCTCAAGGAAACATTTCAGATCCTCCATATGCTGTACTCAAGAGTCTGCATACAGTATGTCATCAATGTGCATGGTGCAGTTCAATGACCCTTCTGTGGTTCAATTCATCAACCTCTGAAAAGAGATAGGAGTATTTTTTTTTTTTTTACTTATCAGCCATCTGTACAATGAACTGTTTGGTGACTGGTTGAACATATGAGATCAACCCTAAAATTCACAAAAAACTAAACTAAAATAAAATGAAATAAATAAAATAAAATCCCCAGTGTATTGTTCATGTAAAGAAATCTTAATCTTAGGCACTAAAGTCTTAAAAATAAATAAATGGTACAAGTGTAAAAATGTATTACCCTTTATTTAGTCGGAAAAAAACAAGATATGTACTACCAGCTGGACAATAGCCTCAGTGTTTCCATTGGTGGTGCAAATGCAATGCAAGAAAAAGCTCTCCAAAGGTATGTTAGGTGGCAGAAATAATAACATCCAACAATCATTAGCATGCAATTCAACAATATAATGAGTTAACATTCTACTGGCAGCCATAGTTGGTCCAAGAGCGCTAGGTTAAACTTCTTGAGAATATGAATGAATGAAAACCAACTCTTCTAGCACACATATGAAACTTCACACACATTTACATGCAGGCTCACTTTCACACTTATTTAGTATTGGAGCTCCAAGGTCAGAGAAAGTTGAAATGGCCCTTTTATCATCAAAATGCATATGATGGGTCAATGCATCTTCAAGCTGCAACAAAGGGTGCAGAGAAAAAAAAACACACACCCAAAAGCCTTTGAGTGCTCCAATTCTGAGGTCTGAAAAAGTCTCATATCTTAGGAATGAAAGAAACTCTGCCTATTTCAAAATCCATTTAACCCTCTGAGCTTCTTGAAGCCCACTGAAATGATCAATATCAGAGCTGAGTACAAACATGGAGAAACAATATGTCAGTGAATGGATTACTTGTATTCATGTTCATGGTGTCAATAGAGTGCAACCATCAATCTAAGAACTGAGAGATCTTTTAATACCATGTTCATTCCTCTTAAACAAAACAAAATATAAAATTCAGTGTCAGAGAAAATGGCCAAAACTCATTAAACAACAGAGAGACTGAATCATCAGAATAGTAGCTGCGATTAAAACCACACACATTCCTCTCTACATAATACAGTAAATATGAAATGTAATGGATTTGAGGCCAAGTTTGGGGTTGGCTGCAGCTAAAATTGTTCTCTGAAGTTTCTGCAGACTGCTAGGCTGGACGTGGTCTCCATAACAACCAAACGAAAAGACAGCATGGTCTCGTGACTGATTTGAAAAAGTTCAAACGTCACATCTGTCATCCCGTCAGACAGGACGTCTGTCTGACCGGTTCACGCTGAGCCCATGCAAAAAAGGGAATGAATTCAATACACGAATTTATTGTTGCTAACAACAGGTCAATATCCAATTACAGGAAGGCATTAAATGTGACTCGCTGACAATTATTTGAAATGATTTATTTTTTAAGGGATTTCAAATTAAAGGTTGTAACAAAAACTGTACAAACAATAACAAACCATCAGGTTAGAAAATGCCTAATTCTCAATAATGTATAATTTATATATATTTTTTTTTCCCAGCTCCCATGTTGTATTAGATTCCCAAGCTTTTCACTTCTTACTCACAAAATAAGGACATTGTTGCAACCTCAACTATCATTACAGTATTTTAGATTTGCTAATAAAACCATGACAAACTGATAACAGAAAGATTAAAAGGATAAAAAGTCTTAACAATCATTCTTTATTAATTAATTTAGGGATACAGTTTATATCTCTTATAACAATTATGGCCAAAATGTGAAATCATTACTGAAATTATTTTTAAATTTTCTTCTAAAATTCTCAATTCTATTTGATTTTACTATTTTTCTCCACAATCCAAGTTTGGTGTGTGTGTGTGTGTGTGTGTGTGTGTGTGTGTGTGTTATGCAAAGTCACTGTTTTGAGCTTTGTATTATGTCATAATGCCATTCTCTCATCAAAAACATGCACAGAGTGTTGCTTTGATTTATTTATCCATTTTTGAGAAATCCTTAAATTTCTTGAAGTAGTCATTTGGAGCTGCGTAAATACTTGCTGGTACAAAGCTCCACCTACTTACACAACGCTCCTTCCTGGAGCTCAGTCTGCAGCTTAGGCCGGCGTCACACTACAAGATAATCATGACGATTTTTGCCCTTCTGACAATCTTAAGGAAGTCCAGATTATCGTGATGACTCACACCCTTTAAATTAGCCATTCCCAAATAGTTGGCAGTAGTGTCATAATAATTCTGTTTGCTAAAAAAATGTGCATGAGGATAATAACAGCATAAACAAAGTTTGCATACGTAAACAAGTAATATCTAGGGTCACAAGTTTCTGCAACTGTTCTTTTGTGGGCTGCAAGCTAAAAAGTTTGAAAACCGCCAGTTTAAAATCTGCAGAAACAATTAACACACAATACATTGACTTGTTTCTATTCAGCAAAATAATTTGACTGATCATGTAAACCTGATGGCTACCAGATGCACATTTAGTGGGAAATACACAATAAGTTTTTTGAGGCTTTTGACATTAAAATGGAGACCCTATCCAAAGGTCTGCTAAATATAAATGTCAAACTGAAATGTCATCTGTTGCTTTTTAAATCATAAAGCTGCTTTTTCCTTTTCAAGCTATTTCATGGAGGTACCACAGGTTCTAAACTATTAGGCAAAAAAGCTTAAATATTATGTTAGTAAAACCGTCAACTAGCAAACATAAAATAAAGCAAATTGCTTTTTCTGTGTTTTATAAGCTGATCTTTGCTAATAAAAAACCTGGAAAGACATTAATGTAAACATGTGAACTAGGTAATTATTTGCAGTGCCATATAGAACATTTCTAATATTTAGTAAAGGATTTCACAAGTACTCGGTAGGTGGAATTTCAAAGATTAAATTTGGAAAAAAAAATGAACTGAAAACCCATAAAAACAAAGAATTCTAACTCAGAAATTCAGAGAATCTCAAACCTCTAAATTCATAATGGCTGCCCCATGTACAGTATGAAAACCTGAAAAAAGCTTTTTTTATTTTCACATCTATCCATTTGTATCTTAGTGTTTGAATAGATAGGATGGAAAATAACTTATTGCTAAAAACAAATCTATGTGGTTGCAATAATTCTTGTCTGTAGAACTGGACAAAAACGAGTAAAGTGGTTCACTATAAAGGTGCACAATGAATGCATGAGATAGTTTATTCATTAACACAGACACCCTGTTGAGTTGAAGGAAAGTGCACATTCTCCTGCTTTATTGCACATAATTTCATTTAGTGATCATTTAAAATAATGTCTGGAATCCATTAACTATGTAGCATTAAAATATTGTCTTATAACGGTCATGTTCTTTTTACCAGCTGAAGACAGAAAAACTGCTGTTTTACTATTTTATGAACCTAGTTAATTAAAGATTCAAAGTAAACAATGGAGATTCAATTTTTCATGAAATATACAAACACCTTCATTTCAGGTTGCATAAAAGCTATTTATTGCATCTACGTTTAGCACAATAATGATAATTAAACCACTCAGTTATGTGGTATTAAAGAGCTGATGCAGCATGCAAACTTTTCAAACAAAATAACATGGAATACAATAAACAAAGCAACAACAAAATTAATATTTTCAAGTTTGTTTACCTGGATTTAATATTCAAGTATAGATTGGTGAATAATTGTGGAACTTAATTTTGCACTGAAATGGAAATTTTGTTGAAATTATTTAAGTTTTTTTTCTAACTTCACTGCATGGATCCAGTTTTTGAATTGGTGTAGTCAGGAAGAACAAAAGATAATTTGAATATCCATTTGAGATATTTTTTTCCAACACAGAAACAGGGTTGACGTCAACAGTTACTAAGTTTTTCAGCAAACTTATCGTGCATTGTGTAGGAATGACGCTCCGCTGCTGCTGCACCGAATCCTAGTTCAGTATCTGTTTGCGTCTCACAAGGTCAGGTTGGCTGTGACAGCCATCTTGAATTGAGTTGACTCCAAAGGTTACCAGACTTAGATGTACAAACAGTGATTACTTTGAGTTATTTCACAATTTGTTCAGAGGTTACTGAAATATTTTAGCTGACCAAAAGAAACAGTTGACTCTCACGGTATCAAAGTTTAAAAACAGATCTTGTGCAATCCTTTAGCACTCGGAGTGTGTTGAGAATTGTAACTATTTATCAGTTTTTGATATACAGTTACTTGTGCTCCTAGGATCTGCTGTATTATGACACAGTTTTTTGCCAAATGTATCACAATTTCAATTATAAGTGTAGTGCCCCTTTGCTGTACTGGCATAAATAGAGGGACTATCCCAAGTTCTTTAAATAAATTGGTATCTCTACATTTAATATTTGTAGTGTTTTTTCACACAAAACAATATACACTAATAGTAAGAGAACAATATCATTCTAAATTTAAACCTCAGTTTCTTGTATTTTGGAATTTATCCTTTATCAGAGTTGCACTGATTTTACTATTAACATTAACTTACACACGTAAACACAATGCTCTTATCAAAATACAATGAAATGTTCACAAATAAACACACAATTAAGTAAAATATATTAAGAACTATTTATTTACACATGAAAAGAAAACATTGCATTATAGGCTAAATCAAAGTTAACATTTTAACCCATTTTGTTCTTATTTATTCTACCGACACATTTACTCTTTTTTATTACTTATCACTATTTATAAACCAATGTATTCAGAAGCCTGGACTTCAAAGGGCTACATGAGCAACAGCCAAATAAAACCAAACCAGAACAAACCATGTTACTTCCCCTACCCACTTCCACCAAGTTTTATATTGAAAAGAACTACATTCTTGTTTCTTACTAGTAGAAATAAAAATGTGCTGCAGCTGCAAAACATTTTTATCGGTGACCATTTTTCTTTCTGTTGTGTTTCGGTCAACTGCAAATAAGCAGACCAGGAAAAAAGGGAAGCCATGACATGAAGAGATATCTCAAAATATTAATAATAACAATGAAAATATACTACTAATGATAATAAATTGAAATACAATACTAAAATGTAACCTAGGGATTCTGATTGTGTTTAGGCCAGCAGAAAAGACTTTGATGGTAATGATGGTCCACCACTGAGTGACCTTCTTGTTGTAGCTCTGTCATGTGAACATTTGCTAATGAATGAGGGGCGTTTAGGTGCCTAAAAGTTACCCTGAGTACTTTGGTAACATTTTGAACTATAGCACATCCTGCTATTTAGGAGATATTTATTCATTAACCATCTCTGGTAAGGATAACAATGTTTGCCTCATCTTTTTTTATTTTTACACACAGTTTGTCCAACTGTGGAGCGGCAATGTAAAATGGGTAAACTGTAAACTCTGGAGGTTTCTGAGACTCCAGTACAATCTGTGGAGATGTTGATAAATCTCTGCTCTTTAAGTAAAGCAGGCCATCCACTCACACCTGCTTGTCCTCCAAATGATTAAACACCAGACTCCTGTTTCACCTTCACACGTGCTTGTTGTAGTCCAGAAACTTCTCATAGCAATTCCATATGTTTACTCCTAAAGTTCCATCTTGTGATTGTTTTCGTTACACGCAATTTAGAGTTTAACATATCATTTCGTGGGTTTGAATTTGTTTGTCTCATCTGTGTTTGTGTGTCACTCAACCTGCAGCCGCCAGGTCCCAGTGAATGGAAACCCTCATGGCACGTGTCGCACTTCTCCCCCGTCACGCCGACTCGACAAACACACCTTCCCTTTTCATCACACTGCAGACTCTCTGATCCTACAGGGCAAACAGAAGGATCAAGCAGGAAAGACAACACAAACAAAAGGTATTGTAAAAAAATAGAAGACTAAAAATGGATAAAGGAAAGAAAAATAAAGAAAAGTGGACTTAAAAGAAGAAAAAATCTATAAGGATTATTGGTAATTACACAAAATGGATCAATACAGCATTAATAATTTGTCACACAGGGGTTAGGGGAGTCGATTCTTATTGAATTTCTGATCACAACCCTCAAAGAGAAGCCTGGAAGAGTGGGATATAACCTTGCAGTCACAGCTGATGTGTGGCTTTAGTTAATGGACAAAGAAAAAAAAACAGCTGGGGCAGAAGGAGGAGAGTAAAGGACGCCTGATGGAGTCAGTTTTAACACAGGATCAATGTAATGGACTCCAACAGCTCTGTAAAATCACCTTACTGTATTTATACATGAGAGGGTGAGGGTAACAACATCACTTAGAACATTCGTCCCCCCCACTGTTGTTTTCTTTATCACGATGAAAACAGATAAATATTAATTGTCTCTCCAACAAAGAAAAAAAATAAAATCCCACAATGCCTAATGAGCGCCAAACTAATTTGTTTTTACTTAGTTCCAATTAGAGCAACACACTTGAGTGAAATCATGATTTTTCCCCCTCTTATCTTCTAACAACGGAGTGATTATAAATCTGATTGGCTGTTTAATGAGATTGTATGAATTATGAATTTAAAATAATTTTGGCAAGGTTTATCCGTAGTAAAAAAAAAAAGCATTATATATCTCTAGAGGAGTCTGAAAATCGGTGAATATAGCGAGAAAGTTGCTAAATTGGCACCGGTGTGTTCCGCAACCCATTGCCTCTCATGTCAGTGAGCTGTGTGTCGGATCAATTACGTCACACATTGAAGCGGTCAAATTATCGTACATTATGGGATTTTTGGAATTATTGATCGTGCATCGTTCAGAGGGCAAATTTATCGTACAAATATGATAATTATCTCACATCTGGCAACACTGACACAATTATGAGAAATTTTGTCAAAGCTACAGTCAAGTCAACAGACACGGGCAAAAGCATTACGCTTTTAGCAGTGGGCGATAACAAAACAATGTATAAGGACACTGCTTTACAAACTTGTAAAAAAGACAATTTTAGATTTGCTGCTAACCATCGATGGAGCAGTTGCATGGTAGGCAGAGCTCTTCTGGGAATTCTCTGTAGTAGTTGTCTTTGCAGCGCTCACAATGAGGCCCGTCGGTGTTGTCTCTGCAGTTTACACAGCGCCCCCCACTGCCGGTGCTCCTGTACTGCTCTACGTCAAACACACACTCGTCCGATTTCCCACTGCAGTTGCACCCTAAGAAAGAAACACACAAGTAGAGGTTAAAAGACAGGTATGATTTTTAAAGTAGTACATAAAACGGGGTTTAATTAAAGAACAAAAAAGGCAGAAATAGACAAAGTCTACAGACACATCGAGGGGCCTACAGTAAGTGCGAGAGATTATGTGTTCTGGGATTGGATCATAATTTAGAGCCTCGTTTCTAATCTCATTTCACACAGGCCTAATGAGGAGCCAATCGGCTGTCAGGGGGCACTTAGATAACAGTAATTCATGTTTACACACGAACAAATTACCCAGCCGATAACGCACCATCAAAGCCCTCATACCAAATCCCTCTTTAGTTTGCCAGTTACCCTGAGGGGGGACTTAGGTGAAATTGGCCATTTTATTATGATTCAAGCTCTCTGTTGAGCTCAAAATAACCATATGATAACTCTTTCCTTTTTAATGAGGAGTCCCAGCAGTATTCACCTTAATTAATCAGTTTGTTTTAAAACCCAACGAGCTTCATGAAAAAAAAAGTCAGATTGTTGTAATTGTACCTTTTAAATTAACTAAATTGCACAAGTAAACACTTTCAGTCCTACAGAGACTTGCATCTGTTATATTTTCTTGTAAGTTCTGTAAATTATATTTATATAAAGAACCTTTTATAGCCCTTTAAAATGTGCAGTAATAAGATTATTGCTTGAGAACAAGTAAGAGGCAATCACAAAAATTTTATGTTGCGAAACGTGAAATGTACCTCTCCTCTTTTCATTTGCTTTTGCTTCCAACCATAGAGTTAGTTATAAGAGAAAAAACTTTGGGTCCATCCAGAACACCGTACAGCGAAAACTTGTCCTTCAAGAAACTGAAATTCCTCGAAGCGTTATGTTTATTTTAAGTAATGTCTGCAGTAAGAGATAAATAAAATATATTCTGCCAGCTCATGGTACACAAACCACATGACATTTCAACTAGTCTGAGATCATTAATAGGTAAAACTGCCAGCTGACATAAAAATAAAAAAACAACAGACCACTCTGTCAGCTCAAATATCAAGTCATACCCATGACAAAACTGAAGCAGGAATTATTTAATTGTGCAAAAAAGTAGACAGATACATTTTTACATGATTTTTTTTGCATTGCCAGTGTTTGACTATTAAACATATACATCACCACCAATATACAGTGTTGTCTTACATCACAAAAATGATGGAAAAAAAGTACAGACTTAACAATTCAGTGTGGATCATGTACTTCTCCTAATACCAAACTTACGATTCAGTTTAAAGACAAATCAGTAATATTTTTTCTAATAATTAGAAACTAAAGTAAATGGATTTGGAAATAGTTTGAACAATGTAAGGTAAAAAGCAAAGACACCTTTTTTATTCTACCCTATATTTAATAGGGGTATCCCAATCAATAATGATGATGGAAACTGGTCCGATTTTAGCCTATAAATGCTTCGGGGCATTTATAGGCTAAAGGGGCTTTTTTATAGGGGCTTTTTAGCCTCCCTGGCACCAAGGTGTCTGGACTTTGTTCAGACACTCTGGTCCACAGGTGTCGGTCCTCGAGGGCCACTGCCCTGCATGTTTTCTTGTTTTCCAGCTCAAACACACCTGATTTGCATGAATAGATGATTAACAGGCTTCTACAAAATTTAAGGAGTTAATTGAAGCACTGAATCAGGTGTGTTGAAGCAAAGAAACAAGGAAAACATGCAGGATAGCGGCCCTCGAAGACCTGTGTTTGAAACCCCTGCGTCTGTCCCTAACAAGCCCTCGCCTAGGGTGGCCGCACTGCGGTTGTACCATTGTGCATCTGCTTGTACTAGTAGCCATTTTCACATATCTGAGTGTTAACATAAACACTGTTTGGAGGGTGGAGCTACCATAAACAAAAGGTTAGGAGGGTGTTGCCAACAGCAGCTTATTTGCATAAACATATCATTCTGAAAGAAGCTCAGAACAGGCAGAACTGACCAGGTGAAATCTCAATATCTGCAAATGATATTGTGTATTAAATCTAATGAACATGTTTTGTGTAGCCCACAGATGTGTCTTAACTTATTCAAAGAACCATAATAGGTTGTCCTTTAAAGTCCCAAAAAGACGTTGCAGCTGAGTGCAAAACTTAACTGGTCAGGCACAGGCTTTCTGTTGTGGCACAGAGCAGGAGAGTTTATTACTGGAGAACCAACCAAGCTTGACTCCCCACCCTGGCAGCAACAGAAGCTAAGTTCCTCTGTGCTCCGGCACGAGTGTCAAGAGTGCAAGACTCTTTAGCACAGCATCAGTTATCAGTGAGGAGCACAGGAACAGACTGACAGCTCAGCTTGTCAAAAAAAAAAGAGAAAGAAAAAAGAATCTTCACATCATGCTCGGACTGCGGAAAGTGGTGATGAGTAAGACAAGGTAGCCATTAATTTACTTAATTACTATTATTTGTTTTTTTGCTCTTGTTAGTAGCGGATGCCCTACCACTGAACCACAGCTGCCCCTAAAACAGTGGAAAGCCATTGATTGTTGATGAGTTAGGTGTAGGATCGATGCATGAATTGACTTTAGGTTTGGTTTGGTTAAGTACTGCGGGTGGTTAGGTTTCAGAAATGAATGGAAGTCATTACACAGTCCTAACAAGAACATAAATATATATTTGCATGTGTGTGTGTGTGTGTGTGTGTGTGTGTGTGTGTGTGTGTGTGTGTGTGTGTGTGTGTGNGTGTGTGTGTGTGTGTGTGTGTTTGTGTGTGTTTGTTTGTGTGTCATGTTTACCGTTTTCTAACAAAAATGTTACAATACCAATGACCTGCCTCGGTGGGAAAAATTGCAATATTAACAACAAATTAATGCAGAGAAACAATATTTTAAACTTGGCAAAAGGTTTTTATAAAGGCAAAGAGCTGATGACTTTCATCTGGCATTGTTCACATTTGACTTTGAAATAAACTATTTAAAGATATGACTGAAGTTTAATAGTAAAATGATCAGAACAAGAGACTTGGACAAAAAAGTAAAACAAAAAGTAGTAGTAGTGTGTTCGATTATTATTTTCTGAATTTCATAAAAAAAGTCTAGTGGTTCTATTTTCCTAATTGACAAGGTTGACTCCAAAAGTTAGTTCCAAAGTTTTATGCAAAAACATTTAGGATGTGTCGATGATGACTTTCAGGTCCTACCACACACGCACACATGCACGCACGCACGCACGCACACACACACACACACACACAGATTTGCACAACTATCCATTTGGGGACATTCCATTGACTTCCATTACATTTCTACAGCCTAACCCTGACCACAAACTCTAAGGTTAACCTCACAGGTAACTTACCTGACCCTAAAACTAACCTAAACTCAATTCACACATTGGTCATAAACCGACCCCCTAACCCACTAATGGCATTTAAATCAAATGGGGACTCGACCTTTGTCCCCAAATGCACCACTTGTCCCCAAATGTAGGCATTTTGTCTTAAAACTGCCCCCAATTGTCACCAGAAACAACCCCCCCACACACACTTACAAAAAAAGAAATCTTAATATATGTAAAACTCATTCAGTTAGCCATTGTTATCCTTGTTTGCTATTTTGTGTTTACAATTAGCCATAGTGGCCATCTTGAATCTGATTGACTCCAAAAGTTAATCAGATGTACATCCAATGATTAGTTTTTGAGAGTTTTATTCAAATGTGTTCACTGGTTTTAATATTTAACTTTTCTCTGTCTTGCATATCTAACAGATGGAATAAAAATAGAATCTGAACATTTATTTACACAAAAAAGTAGAGTCTTAAGCTCAGAATGCACCTTCTGACAAACACCGATTCCCTTCCTGTCACACATCTGCAGCCCCGTTGGTCATACAGCAGTGCAACACAATCTGACACAACTGTCCTCCTCCAAACACACAAAAAAGTCGCTGCCTGAGTCAGTTCTGATTGGCACTGGTGGGCCGCTAGTGCACAAATTCAGCCATCTCGACTTGTCACCTCCCATCCACTCGATCTTTATCATTCCAGCCAGTGGTGCTGCTGCCGGAGCTGGTCAGGGGAGCTGACAGCCAGGCGGCAGCACTGTCAACAACAGCCCGAGCCTCTGTCGCACGTCTGCTGGTGGTACAGATCCATGCAGGCTGTGACATTTCAGGAAATCTGCAGTAATTTAGCATGTCTGCTGGTGTACGGGGAGGAACTTTTCATAGTCAGGAGAGCAGTATAATTAGATATTACAGTGTCCTATTTTTAACTGGGCAAGAATCCATTCCTTATATTTTTGCCCATCTGTGATATCTCAGTGTGTGTTTGTGTATTTGTATATTTCACAAAATAGCTACCAAAGTACTGGACTGACTCTAACGAAACTTAGAAAATAACAACTGGACTGACAAATACAACTGATTGAATTTGAAATAAATCAGATTGTTCATGTTCAGATTATCAGAAAAAGATCGGATAAGGGGAAAAATGGCTCATATTAGTCTGCAGTGTGAACATAGCCTTTGTCCCTTTTCACCATTAAGAACCACTTAAAGCTGGGGTGAAAGGCAGTGGGTGAATTGGATTCATTCAAGGAATGCTAGGCCTTTAATTCTAATTTTGTACAAAGGAAAGGGTCTAGGTGGATTTTCTAAGATGGTTTATCATTAGGCTGTGAGTAGCAGGAGCTTCATTCACACCAGGCTGATGTTTAAAAAAATAGACATCTGAATCTTGATCTAGTAGGCTGCAGTGCACAAACCCTTCTGTGCAGAGATAAGTCCACAGGCGAGAGTTCTGTGGTAAAAAAAAAAAAATAGGCACTTATCTCTGTGGTTGTGAAAAAAGGGATCTAGTTGGATGAGTCATTGCTCAGCGTTATTCTCAGCACGTGTGCGTGCATGTGGGGTATGACAAAGAAAACTGCACAGACCCAAACAGTTGGAACACACAGTCAGGCATCTGGGTACCCGTGTTTTGCTTTAGGGACCATTTTGCTGATGATTTTGTGCCACTTTACCTTCCCGCAAATAGGTGG